AGCACTTGCTGCCGCCCCGCATTATTGATGATACAACAACAGTCCTTGATAAACCTCGGAAGAGATCAGTCCGAGATATCCTGAGGCGTCGTTCTGGATGAAATCCTTAAGAGGAACCTTCAAACATTCCTTCGCAGCCTTCCTCGTCAACCCTTCCCACCTGCAGTATCATGTCGTAAAAATCGAAAAAGCCTCATAAGGCATCCTAGAACCTGACGACCTCATAAGGGCCTGTCAGGTTTGGTGGTGAACCTTATAAGGTCTTGTCAGGCACCCTAAGGTCATATAAGACCAATTGTCGGGGACATTAAAATCTAGTCGTACATTGGTCCTGAACTGCCGCAAAGCACTACGAGTCAGGTCTGGGTTGATTTTTGGTTGTGTTCCGTAGCTTCGTAGAAATCCTTGACTAGCAGACAGTCACTGACTAAGAGTAGGCACCGAAAAATCAAGGAAAATTGATATGGGCCAGAATGTGATTGAAGCACAGATATCTTTCAATTTTGAGATCTAAGCGAGCTAGATACAGGCGGCGCGTCTGATACTACCCTGTATGAGCTCGCTAGACCTTTCCAGGCCTTGTCAGGAGAATTTTGTGGTATATGTTGAATAAAGTTATCTACTCTAGTGGGTGACTTTCCATAAGCATAAATAAATGCTACGGAATATCTACGTGCCTTGCCGAGGAAGCTGTCAGGACCCCAGCAGCGGAGAAACACGAAAACATACAAGATCTAATGTGATTCTATGAAAGTCTGGAGGGGGGGTAGGTACCCCCCTAATATATTTTTATTACACAGAATAAACTGTTTTGGGCCGAGGCTGGCTAGTTCTCGCGTTCGTTCGATGATTCAAGCTCCAGCGGAGTCATTTAACACTAGGGCAACCCTACCTTTGGCTTTTGAGTCTCGCTGCAGTCATAGAGGGCGAAACAGAACTTTGATTATTTCTTCTTTATGGGGAGGCAAGTAACAAACCGTCCATAGGGTTTTCCTCCCATCACTGGCACTCTCAGACAAGCTCGGGGAATATTCTATGCTTATGGAAAGTCACCCAGTGTTGGTTCTTTAGTGTAGTGGCAATAATTTTCGCTTTTTAAATTTCATGTTTGCGAGAGGTCGAGAGTGCAACCCACACTTGATTAAATAATAGTTTAGCCCATTAGACAGAGAGAACATAGTCAGTACAGTTAGTAGTAGTGAGTAGTAAGCAATATCTACTGGCCTTAGACTGTCCCAAGTAAGCTGGGGACAGAGAAATTGTTTTGTCCTTTTCGCGCCCAAGATCGTGACAAGGCCTTGTAACATCTGATAGCCCCCTTCAGGCCTTACAAGGCACCTCGTGATCAGGCCCTGTCAGACCTTATGTTAGCCTTTTGGTACATATTTAAACCTTGTAACACTATTTTTTCTTGACAACCTGACAAGGCCGTGCAAGCCCTGGGTGGGCCTAATAACATATTTACAATTTTTCTGACACATCCCATCGCAAACACCGTGACCGGGTTGTCCGCGAGATTTTCTGCTAAATAACGCTGCCCCGCCTGTTCCAGGAACGTCATGCAGTATTTCACCGTGGTCTCCAGCACCTCAGAGGTCGTCCAGACTTTCGATGCACGGCTCTGCCCCGGGGTACCAGAAGTGCAACATCCTGTCCAGGACGGCGGCGCTCTTGTCTAGTTTCATGACGGGGAGTGTTGAGTCTGGAACCTGGCCAGCTTGGGGGGTACAGAACATGCCCTCCAAGACCGGGCTCGAAAATTGGGCGGTAGAGGCGAAAATCAATATTGTCCGAGGAGCACAGAATGATATTGTCATCGGGTCATTGAACGAGGATATGGAAACGGCTGGATACGAAGTGGTAGACATTTCCTAGTCTGAGGGTGTAAAACTGAACCATAGGCTGTGTGAGGCCTCGTGCTTGATTGCGTCCACGTTCTAAATCTACAAAATGGTTCGTAATATCCTAAAGTTATGGCTTCTACAAAGATGTAAATTATACCATCAGCCGTTCTAACCCGGAGAAGAGAAAGAGCTTGCATGTTGTCAAGAGATAAATTGAAAGCCAGATTCATTGCAAAATCGTACCAAACTATTGAACAAGATCTTAACAACTGGCAGGTTCAGAAACGTAATGCGCACAGACCATCCGCAGACACTCCCGCATTATGCAAGACCAAAGATAGATGACCAGGGAGAATACTTCAGACTCAGCAAGTAATGGTCCAAAAGCACGACGACGCAAGAATGAATCCGAGAAAAACATATTCCCCACCGACTGCCCAGTGGAATTTGGATTATCCAATGGGGAACCAGAATGTGTGCTTAGCATTTGTGAAGCTTCGAGAGATGTTCAATGACCATCTATATTTGAACCATGCACTGAGCCTATTGAACGGTAAGACCAGCGACAACAGCTCACAATTAGCGCTGAGGTAAGAGCATTTCAGATATTTTGATAATCTGTGTACAAACCACAGGTGTATTTTCGCATTTCGTGTCTTTATACTTATAAAGCACGCTCTCTCTATTCTATAAGAGGCTATCAGGAGCTCCAAACAAGTAGCTTAACAGTCACAGAGCTTAGGTTCTCTATTGGCATGATCCTATGGCGGTAGCTCGACTTGGGGCCAAAGTATGACTTACCGAGAACAGAGCCAACTACATTATATCAGTACCCGTGTGTGTGTTGATGGGCTGAGTGCTAGACTAGTATCAAGGAGATTGGAAGGAATACATGACATCACATGCAGGCAACTGGGGCCTCCCAAAGCGGCCAACTTCGAGATTGTTTACCATTGTGTCTCTTATCGAGAACAGCGTGACAAGTCACATGATGGGTCCAGACCCTTGGATGGGGTGAGACTTCTGTAAATAGACACAGCTGAAGTGAGTTGCCGATGACCAAGTGGGTCTACACATCAGAATAGCTGTGCCGGTTAAACATCAAATCACGATGCCACCGGCACTTACTGAGACAAGTGGAACTTTGGTCCATCACAACAACCAGACTAGCTACAGACACGGGGAAGGTGTCTACAGGTAGCCATAGGCTCGGGATGAGCACCAGACAAAGAAGACAACAGCTCAGAAGCTTCTGTTCGATTAACCAATAACTCTCAAACCAATCGTGCACCAAGGAGAGCTCTGATTCATAGAGCCGGTGCATGGCCAATAGGAGTCAGGGGATTCCCTAAGATCGTCCCGCGGCTCCACGCCGGGACGAAGAGCTTTCCGAGATGTAGTAATAGATGTGTTGTAAAATCGAGATCTCAGTGGTATAAAAGCACATAGTTTAGAGAGGTTCTTGGAGCAGACTACCTTGGGCAACGGTGCAGTGACATCACTTGGTTTACCTTGTTCACATATGCAAGGGCGGTGTGGCTCAGAGTTGTTGTTTAGCTCTAAGACCCAAGTGACCGTTATCTCGAACCGAGTACTGTACCTTTGGCAAGGATTGAATTGGATTGGATTGTATCTGTGATTGACTGTATGACTGAATTGTGAATTGTGTGGACTCTGTCCAGCACTGCGGGTTGTATTGTGTGTGTGTTGTGTGTGTGTTTTGTGTTCTGTGACTTGTATTCTGTGTTCTGTTATATACTGCAGTCCTGCAGGAGTGTATTGTGTCCCAACCTAGAGAAATCCAACAAACCCGTCTTAATTGACATAAACTCGCCGGCTGCTGGCTGTTATTGCCTTAAAAACCCACAAACCCACCGCTTGTACAAAGTCTCGAACATAGCGCGTATTGCTCGACTTTGGTTTCACAACCCTTGTCTATCCCACTCCCCTGTTCTCTGAACAGTAAACGATCTATTGACCTAATACTTGGTCTTTACTCCCAAACACCCGCAATCATAATTACTCATAAGGAGGAGGAGTTGTTGATTGTTTAGTTGTTATTTTGGTTTAGACCATTATCTTGGCTTCATAGTTATCGTTCCACTGCACCCCGAGTAGCATCATTTCAATGTACTGTATGTCATAGGTTGAGAATATAGGGGGTGGAAGCACAGCCAAAAATCTCATGGGTTACAACTATTGCTTGTTCACTCACTCTGCACCGCTCCATTTAAGTTGAAACTAAATGACAGACACAGGCTGTAACGGGACGTTATTCAAATGGGGCCCACATCGGGCCCCTAATCATATATTACCTAATCATTGTATATACTTGTTGTCCCTACTGTATAAGTACCAGGGTGACACGTGGGTGGAGGCATCTTACTTCCACCTACTGTTGAACCCCTGGTATTCTATTGAATATAGAACTAGGTCAGGTTTACTCGGGTGTGAATAGCTAAGATATCCACCACCCTTATACAGGCATGTCCGGATTCAAGTTGGCCGGTGCCGCACCTAGCCATGATTCAGCACTACTTAGTAGTAGCATAGAAAATATAAATTCTGAGAGTATTTTAGGGTCAGGAAGGACTGAAACATCTTTTGTGGACTAGCAAGAACGCACATAGGACTGCGCCAACAGACATCATTGAACACGGAGGGGATCTCTGCACCTCAATATTAATTCTGTCTCAGTCAAACCAGATAATCTGGGCAGCCTATTCTTTGCCTTTGGAAAAAGGAAGGCTGCAAGGAGGAAAGGATGTGGTTGATACCTAGACCTCGCAGACAGTGTCTCCAGTTGGTCTCCGGATAAGATAATATTTGGGAAAGGGCACATGGTGTACTTGATCAGAAATGACATCTCATATTGATTCTCTATTGATTCTCCTTGGAAACACAAGTTCTTCCAAAGCCAGAGCAGCCCCGTTGGCCTCGAAGAAACCAAAAGCTTGCAAAGTTGCTTAAGGTGTACTAACCTTCAATGTTGCTTGGAGCTATGGCATACACTCCCCTAGACCATTCTCGTTACATCCAAGGATAATTCAGTAAAGTGTCAATTGAAAGCTCCAAGAATTCAGCCCGGGCGGTGATGATTGAATGAAAAACTGAACTTCAAGCACAAAAGAAGATGAGAAGGGTGTGGAAAAAGGATGGACACATTGGGAATTGAACCCAACACCTCTCGCATTCAACGGTCACGTGAGCTAACCACATCACGTGTTACGATGCTAAGCGAGCGTGATAACCAACTACACCATGTGCCCGATGAGATGATTTATCGTGATGGCTAGATAGAGTCCCAGCACTATGTCTAAGCTCCGGCCTTTCCTAAGCGCATCCAACCATTATTCCGATTTGCCAAGGCAAGCGGGCTGTTGTGGCTTTAGAGGATTTGTGGAAATTATCTCAACCAATCGTTTCCGGTTTACCAAGTACACCGTGCGCCCCGCAACTAATTACTATCCAGAGCGCAGCCGGACACTTAGGGATCGTCACCGTCCGTCCCGGCCGACGGACGGTGCCAAAGACGGCCGTCCAGTGGACCGTCCGTCGACGGTACGGTGGCGGAGGCTCTCTCATGACGCTTGACGGGACGGGACGGTGGACGGGACGGCCGTCCGACGGTGGACGGTCGAACAGAACTCAGTAAAACATGTATAAAAAGGAAATATCAGAGTTTAATTGTCAGTAAGTCTGTAATAAGTACGAGGAATAGAAGGGAAATAATGAAAATCAGTAGAATCGGCAAGTAGAGTGAGCCACATTTGGATGATGGTGGAATTGATCAGGACAGGATAATTACAGATACTTGGCTTGATGGCCGACTGAAGAATGCGAAAAATGGTGTGAGTCTGGGAGAGTATCGGCTTCTTGGTAGTTGACTTAAGATATGCCTTCGCTTCGCTCCGGCAGCCTCCTGTTCGCTTGTTTACCGATGCCCTTGCCCATGGTATATCATGAAACATATTTATTATAGGCGGAGGGCTCAACATTGAGATGAAGTGCTCATTCGGACATGAATGCACAAAATCAAATGAGTGTGTATTATTCTTCACTGAGTAATGAACGACTACACAGGCTAGCGCGTATAAATCAACGTACAAAGCTATACATGATCTTCACTGCTCGCAAAAGATTCGCATTACCCAACTTATGGGATAAACGGTACGATCTCATAAATGTGTGCTGCGATGCAGAGGGATCAGAAGAAACTGACCTACTGTGTGAAATCGCAGATGGGTGACAGATAATCTGGCCTAGCGATAAGATTGGAGCTCGAGGATCACGGTCTCAGTCAAGACGTGCTTTCGCTTGGCTCCGGCGCAAGCGCGACGCCTCATTTGCATCCCTAAGACACGATGTATTGCAGCGACGACCGTAATAATATAAAAATTACACGTTCAACTACGTTCACAAATTTCTCCCGTTTTTTGCCCGCAGTCACAGGCTACACAGTATGCTCATAAATGTTTAGTACACAGCCAGAGGGCCAGCAAATGAATGACTACTGACTCGAGATTTAATGAACATCAGAATGTGGCCAAATGCCGAACCGTGGGAGACATGTCTCATACCGGACAGTAGCATAGTTGAGAGCAAAGTCCAATAACCCCAGTCGCTTACTTGGACGGTAGAATCAGACGCGAGTACATCCCAGATTACATTGATACTCAACTGGGTATGTGGCCGAGATTTCGATGGGGAGATCCGACTGCATAAGGTAGCGGACAGGCAAATACGGTTACCCCACGTGACCTGCCTTTTTGGGAGGTTTTCAGAGTTGGTCCTCGATTTCTCTGTTCTCCTTGAGAAAATACAGAATCTGGCAAAACAGAATTGTTATAAATTGTCCCAGTAGCATTGTTAAATATTTCTATGAGTTTCAGTTCAGAATTGAAAGACTAGTTCCAAAAATCATCATTCGACCTCGATTTGGGAACTAGTCCCCCATTTCTCGTCCGAAAATCCCCAAAATATTTGGGAGACTTTTTATGGCAAAATGGGATAATTCTGTTTTGCCGGATTTCTTATTATCGGCCCTCAAACCTCGATTTTCTGAAATACTGTCCCGTTTTGGGCAAAACGGGTTGTCACGTGGGGTAACTGTATTTGCCTGTCCGCTACCTTATGAGCATGCGGTGCTCCATGAGGAGGATGCGTGCGGACAATGGGTAAAATATCCGGTGGAAGAGAAACCGAAGAAGTTGCACCCTTGGTACATGCCGCATATCACAAAAATCCAAAACCGGATCCACATACACGTCCACAACGACTCAATACCCTACCACTTGTCCTGTGCGTATTAATTTGAGAAGTCCTAATTCCAGAGTTCTGACTTACGAAACATCATGCACGTTGATGACGAGCGTGTTTTGACGTCCAAAATGAGGAGAGAAAGGGAGAAACAAATGAATTTGGGACAATTTCTGCAACAATTTCTGCAACAATTTCCACGATTTTCACGGAGTTTTCCCTGGATATTTACTAACCCTGAGCCACCGGCAGATTAATTACGAACAGAAATTACGATCAGAACCATCCGTCCGTCCTTCCGTCTTCCGGTGGACGGGACGGCCGTCTTCACTGCCGTCCGGCGACGGTACGGCATGCTGGGGAGCCCAGTAGCCCAGGGACGGGACGGGACGGTTGTCCGTCCGTCCGTCCGTCCCACCGTCCTGGACGGGTACGGTGACGATCCCTACGGACACTAGTCCGATGCAGCGGGTCCAGCTATCGACCTGCAGCTTTGCTTTGCTTCCCTACGCGATGAATGGTTTGCCTATGTCTGCCTGGATGAAGTGATTCGCTTGAGATAGTGGCGACAGAACCTTAATAAATATTGTGGTCCGTGCGGAGATTCCCTCCTTGTTAAATCAAAAGTGCTTGAAGGATGGCCATCGAATACACAGTGAATATGAGCACGACATGATCTAGAGGGGTATCATTCGACCCAGTTTCTGCGGAAGAGTCCGACTATATAGCCTGCTGTACAAGTGCTGTGAGCCGGAGCCCCAGGAAGTTACTTTGCTGGGGGCGGGGGTCTGAACAACTAGCGATACTACCGCTAGCATGAAATAGCAATCTTAGGAGTGGTTCGTCGGACTGAAAATGATATTGAGGGAACGAATACGCAGCTAGGTCTTCGTCTGAACTGATCTCACCGGGGTGTCAAGTGCGGTGGCGAGCGGAGGAGTCGGATGGCAGTCACAAGATCGAAAGAGTTATAGCATTGGGGTGAGGGATGCACGGCTGCCCCGCTGCGTTGCACTTTTGGACAAACATGACTGCTATCCGGTTGGTCTGGCAGAAATATACAAGCGCTTTGTCATGGTAATCTATTTTGCGAGACGGCCAGAAATGGTTGGAAGTCGAGTAAGTCTGAAAGTCCTCGAGAACGCCCACTGGAGTCATCCACGTGCATGCACATTTGTTTAATGATGTGGGCGCTATGCGGATACTCTAGCTATCTATGCGCATGATAGTGCTCACCCAAGACATGCTCGTTCGTTTCAAGAATGAATTCGATATTCGGTAGTGGTCGAGATGTGGATGCGAGAGGACTCCGAGGATACACAGGGAGCCTTGAGAAAGCCAGTACCAAAGCTGGACCAAGGCAGCCGTCAAGTTGACGCTCGGAAGGGTTGTATAGCCACAAGATACAAGAAACGAGCATTCAAAGCATGCGAATAGACGTCAGTTACTTGTCAAAGGAGCGCACGCCAACTAGATGAAACTGGGGTTGCAGAATGAAGGGATCTCGAGCAAGCCTGATAACGCTCACCTGGAGTCATGCTCATTCGTAATTAAATACCGAGAATGGAAGCGACGTTTACTGTGAGGTCTGCCTTTTAACTTGGGTCTGTGCAAGCGGGAGGAAGCTGGCTACTCAATTTGAGCAGCTGACAGCTCGGATGCAAAGTCCAAGCCGCCAAAAATGCCTGCGGTCACAGGTGGCATCTTGACTTATCGGTGATGAATATTGGGAAGATGACGGCGGAATGGAGAGTTGTCCGGAAAGAGCCAATTGTTTACCAAGACGAAGGAGGTCCGTGCTGGCGTCGGGAAGCTGCCAGACAATAAACAATGGCCCTCCATGATCGCACCCTTCTTTTGTCTTGAGGTACATATACGGTGTTGTCTGAGATGTCATCCGCGCTGGAGGTCTAGAAATCATCGCCTGGAGCTAGCTGGAGCTGTTCGGGAATCTTGACCTAGGCCCACAGATAAAACAGTCTCCAGGAAGTTATTTTTTCTCAAGGAAAGTATGCGGCCGCCAAGGAATTCGAGATCCGCGCAAACTCCGGCGGATACAGGGATATTACGGCGCAGAATGCAGTGCGGGGAATGCTTGACTCATGGGAGAGGGCACACTGCCCAAGGCCGAAAAAGGAAATTGCGCAGCCACATAATTAAGCCTGCTTCTGCTTCTCGCCGCTGCTACTTGCTTGCTGCTCCTTGTAAACGGCTATATCCTCTGCCTCAAGGGCTCCTACGGACTCTCTGACGGTTCACCTCGCCTACCCAGCCGCTGCAGGTCCAGCAATCCCTCTATCTACGGTCGAGCGGAGGCCTTTGTGGGCCCACAGAATTGCCACAGAACTCGGCACTACAGAATCTACTACAGTCCAGACACCCCCCTAAGCTCGATTCAAGAATGGCAGACAAAAAAGTAGCCTTTATTCGTCTATCATACCTTCCGTTGACCCAATCTCAGGCAATGTCCCGCGCCCTAGGCGCCGCCTTTTTGAATCACCAAGTGGAGCAGCTGGAGAAGTCTGCTGCATCCGGGAACTGGCGGAGCAGAGTTACAAACGCCCAGTCCTCACCCAAGCGTGGCCAACAACCCGGCAGTAATGCGACTATCGCTACCACCACCAAGCCGGCCTCACGGAAGAAGACTGCTGGTGTCCTGGTTATCCCGAGGGACACAGCGCCGGCGAGCGTACGGCGCTCCATGGAAGAGGAAAAGGACGCGGACGTCGTGGTGGTCGATGCTAGCGTGCTTGTCCACGCCCTGCACCACGTGAAGAAGTGGTGCCGCGATGGTCGTCCCGAGATCGTTATCGTGCCACTCGAAGGTGTGTCTTCATCTCTGTGTACCGAGGAATACGCTAATTTGCGCCTTTAATTAGCCCTCAACACACTTGACCTGCTGAAGAAAGGGACCTCGGCGCTCGCACAGCGCGCCCGCGCTGCCTCGCGCATCCTGGAAGCACAAGTGGGCACAAACCCCCGTATCCGCGTGCAGCAAGACCATGCCTTT